GTAGAATGGGCAGATGAGAGCACTCTGTTCCAATGGCCATTAAGACAGCGGAAGGAGGCATTTGTAGAACACTTAAAGTTTGGTCACACAACAAAGATGCCAAGGTCATCCATCAATTATATTCCAGGCCATTGCCAGTCATCTTGACTTTTATCTTGCCACTGGACTTCAATGCCTCTGACAGAGAGAGGCTGACAACTTTGTGCAACTCTGCCTCACTTAAATCCGATTCATGCATGAGTCAAGACATCACTCTGGATATCATTGGTCCTCTTCAAAATGAAGGATGAACAATGATGTTTATAATCAGTCTACTCCTGGTGTTGAACAAGATTTATCTCTGTTATATCCTTCAACGGATCCTGAATTATTTTAATACATGCAAAGGAAACATCTTGTAGTATGAGAGCAGAGGGCATTTAAAGATTAAAAAATATATGAACAAACAGAAGAAGCATGGAAAAGATCTGAAAATGTTTTCATGATACACTAAATGCAACAGAGCCATAACATTTAGACATTAGGTAGAAAGGACACAGAGGAAAACAAAGATGCTGGATCAGACCAAGTGTATATAGAGGAAATCTGTGCCAGGACCACTACATTGTAGAGCCCTGAGGGATAGATTCACAAGATATCTGAAGGAAAGAAAGATGCCAAAGGGAGGGTGGGTAGGGAAAGAACTTGGCAACCAAGAGAAAAAAAACTAACAACCAATATGCTGTGTTTCTCACATGTAAAACTTTTATGAGAACCATTATCATGTATGTCAAGGGAATTTCCAATTAGATATTAAGAGGAAATAAGAAAGCTTTAGCAAGTGATTCCATAGTGAATTTTGTCTTTACCTTCACATAACAGACTGAAAGATATGGAAAATACAAGGTCTTTCTGTGCTTATTTGACACAATAAAGCAAAACATCATAAATATGATGCCATTTAAAAAAGATGGACAATGAGCTAGGCACAAAGAAGGAAGAAATCAGAGTGACCTGCATTTGGGAAATAGCACAGTGCTAAATTTCCCACCATTGTAAAAGCCCATTTTAAAAATGTTTAATATCAAAATTATCCTAGTAATGTTATGTAGAATCATATTTTAAAAACAACAACACAACAATAACTCCAAACCCCCCTTTCCATTTCTCTATACAGAAATAATATTTTGAGGGCAGAGCCAAGATGGCAGAAAAAAGGCTGTGACTCGCCTGAGGTCTCCCCAAACCCTTCTGAACACCTTTAAATAGTGCCAGACAATTTCTGGAGCAGCAGAACCCACAAGAGGATGGGGGTAGAAGGTCAGCAGGAAAGGTCTGTTGCAAGTGAGCAGAAGTGAAGCACAGTCCAGTGTAGGCCGTGCCAGCAGAGCCCTGGCCCCGGCAAACCAGGAGTAGGCACTGGGGCAATTGAATCAGTGGCAGCAGTGGTGGTTTCTAGACTTTGCAGTCCACAGATGGTAAGGGGGTCAAATAACTGATAAACTAAGTAAGGGGGTTGGACAGCTGATTTGCCAGCATCAAGGCAGGATTCCGTTGCTTTGCCCATATTCGGATCTGAGTTGCAGTCCTGGGTAGCTGTCCCAGGGTGAGAAGGAGCATCAATACACAAGAGCTTATGGCCACAATGGAGTGGGGTCTCTCCTCACAGTTCCAGAGCAGAAAAGAATGCTAGTGGCTACTCATAGACTAGAGCACAGGAGAGGACAGTAGTAAATACCTATCCTCAGATCATACCACCTTGGATGAATGGAAAACTTACAGGTCCCTAGAATTATCTCTGAAAAAACAACTGCACAAAATCCCTGAAGCTTGGGACAGCGCACCCTACCTTGGAAGTGGAGTTCTACTTTCACAGAGTTGAAAGTCAAGTAACAAGCTGGGAAAATGAGCAAAGAAGAAAAAAAAAATTCTGACCATAAAGAGTTACTATAGTGACAAGGAAGATCAAAACATACATTCAGAAGATAAAGTCAAAGTTCCTACATCCAAAGCCTCCAAGAAAACTAGGAATTGGTCTCAAGCCATGGAAGGGCTCAAAAAGGATATTGAAAATCAAGTAAGAGAGATAGAGGGAAAATTGGGAAAAGAAATTAAAGCAATGCAAGAAAATAATGAAAAAAGAGTCAACAGCTTGGTAAAGGAGACACAAAAAAATAGTGAAGAAAATAACACCTTAAAAAATTGACTAGGTAAAAGAGGTACAAAAATCTAGTGAGGAGAGAAGAATTCCTTAAAAAGTAGAATCGTCCAAACAGAAAAAGGCACAAAAATTTACAGAAGGAAAAAACTCCTTAAAAAGCAGAATTGTCCAAAAGGAAAAGGAGATTAAAAAAGCTCACATTACAATTCAGCAAATGGAAGTAAATTACTTTATGAGATTCCCAAATGAAAACTCCCAGGAATATTATAGCCAAATTTCAGAGCTCCCAGGTCAAGGAGAAAATATTGCAAGCAGCCAGAAAGAAACAGTTCAAGTATTCTGGAGCCACAGTCAGGATAACACAAGATTTAGTAGCTTCTACATTAAAGGATCAGAGGACTTGGAATATGATATTCAGAAGGGCAGTGGAGCTAGGATTACAACCAAGAATCACCTATCCAGCGAAACTGAGTATAATTCTTCAGGGGAAAAAAATAGACATTCAATGAAATAAAGGACTTTCAAGCATTCTTGATGAAAAAACCAGAGCTGAATTGAAAATCTGACTTTCAAATACAAGACTCAAGAGAAGCATAAAATGATAAACAGGACAGAGAAATCAATCTTAAAGGACTTAATGAGGTTAAACTGTTTATATTCCTACATGAGAAGATGATATTTGTAACTCCTAAGAACTTTCTCATTATTAGGGCAGTTAGAAGAAGAAGGCAGAGGGCACAGGTATGAATTGAATATGAAGGGATGATATCTAAAGAAATAAAATTAAGGGGTGAGAGAAGAATGTACTGGGAGAAAGGCAGAGGTAGAATGGAGTAATTATCTTACAAAAAAAGAGGCAAGAAAAAGCTTTTACAGTGGAGGGGAAGGGGGGGCGGGTGAGGGGGAATGAGTGAACCATACTCTCACCAGAACTGCCTTAAAAAGAGAATAACATACACACTCAATAAAATAGATTTATTTTACCCTTCAGGAAAGTAGGGGGGAAAGGGGATAAGAGAAGGGGAGAGAGTGATAGAAGGGAGGGCAGATTGGGGGAGTGGGCTGTCAGAAGCAAAGCATTTAAGGAGGGACAGGGTGAAAGGAGAGGGAGAGACAGAGAACAGAATAAATGGGAGGAAATAGGATGAAGGGAAATACAATTAGCAACAGTAACTGTGGAAAAAAACTTGAAAACAATTTTCTCTGATAAAGGCCCCATTTCTCAAACATATAGAAAACCAAGTCAAATTTGTAAAAATAAGAGCCATTTCCTAAGAGATAAATGATTAGAAGGTAGGAACAGTTTTCTGATAAAATGATCAAAGCTATCTATAGCTATATGAAAAAATAACTCACTATTGATTGGAGAAATGCAAATTAAAACAATTCTGAGGTACTACCACATAACTATTAGATTAGCTAAAAAGGAAAATGACAAATGTTGGAGGAGATGTAGGAAAAACGAGACATTAATGTACTGTCGGAGGAGTTGTGAACTGATTCAACCATTCTGGAGAGGACTATAAAAGGGTGATAAAACCATGCATACCCTTTGACCTAGCAATACCAGTACTAGGTCTGAACACCAAAAGAGATAAAAAACAAAAAGGAATGTACAAAAATATTTATAGCAGCTCTTTTCCAGTGGCATAGAACTGGAAACTGAGGGGATGCACGTCAACCGAGGAATGGCTAAACAAACTGTGGTATGTGATTACAATGGAATACTATTGTGCTCTAAGAAATGATAAGCAGGATGCTCTCAGAAAAACCTGGAAAGACTTATATGAGCTGATGGAAAGTGAAATGTACTAGGTACAAAGTAACAGCAATATTGTAACATAATCAGCTGTGAATGACTTAGCTATTCTCAGTAATACAATGATCAAAGACAACTATAAAGGCCTTAGGAGAAAAAATGTTATACATCTCCAGAGAAAGAACTGATGGTGTCTGAATATAGAAACATGCTTTTTTTTTTAACTTTATTTTTCTTGAGGTTTTCTTTTTTTGTCTTCTTTCACAACATGATTAATATGGAAATGTTTTGCATGACTGCACATGTATAACCTATATCAAACTGCTTGCCTTCTCAATGGGGGGGGAGTACGGAGGGAGGAAGGGAGAGAATATAGTATTCAAAGTTTTAAAAACAAATGTTCAAAATTGTTTTTCTAGTGATTAGAGAAACGCAAATTAAAACAACTCTGTGATACCACCTCACACCTATCAGATTGGCTTACATGAAAAAACAGGAAAATGATAAATGTTGGAGAAGATGTGGGAAAACTGGAACACTAATACGTTGCTGGTAGAGTTGTGAACTGATCCAACCATTCTGGTGAGCAATTTGGAACTATGCCCAAAGGGCTATAAAAATGTGCATACCCTTTGACCCAGCAATAGCACTTCTAGGTCTGTATCCCAAAAAGATGATAAAGAAGGGAAAAGGACCCACATGTACAAAAATATTTATAGCAGCTCTTTTTGTGGTGGCAAAGAATTGGAAATTGAGGGGATGGCCATCAATTGGGGAATGGATGAACAAGTTGTAGTATATGAATGTAATGGAATACTATTGTTCCATAAAAAATGGTGAGCAGGCAGACTTTAGAAAAACCTGGAAAGACTTGCATAAACTGATGCTGAGTGAAGTGAGCAGAATCAGGAGAACACTGTACACAGTGCAATGACCAACTTTGTTAGACTTAGCTCTTCTGAGCAATGCAATGATCTAAGACAACTCCAAAAGACTCATGATGGAAAATGCTATCCGCATCCAGAGAAGGAACTATGGAGTCTGGATGCAGATCGAGACATATTTTCTCTTTTTTTTGTTGTTACTTTTTGCTTTTTCTTCCTCGTGGTTTTTCCCTTTTGTTCTGATTCTTCTTTCACAACATGACTAATGTGGAAATATGTTTAATACGATAAAAAAAGGTTGTTTGTACATGTAAGGGGGGAAAAACAAAATAATAGATAAATTAAAAAAATAAATAATATTTCTCTCATATTTAGATTAAATACCCCTTCCAGACTCCCTCCCTAAAGGTGGGTTGAAGACAAAAGGCACTTTTTTCTTAAGAAAATGGATTGAGTGGAAACCCAACTATCAAACAAGGAGTATCTGCTCTTTTGTAAGAATACTGCCTTCCCCCACCTCCTGAAGTGATTGGGTACTGATCCATCTAAGTACAATATCCTTCCAATGCATTTGTCCATTCAGAAAGAATTATGATATTAATCACAGAGAGAAGACCCTTTTCAATCCTTAAAGGGAGGAAGGAATCAAGTACTGACTATTGTTCTGGATTGTTAACCCAAAATGTATTTTAGGATATTATAATCTTGTCCTTGTTCTAGATTCCAATTAATATTACATCAAATCATCTTGAGGTAGAGAAATGTCAGAGCACATGGGTGGCCTATGCCAGTTCAGACACTTTTCACTCTAGACTAGAAATGCCTTTAACTTAGGAATATTGTTAAATTATATAAAAACTTATTTCTGGAAGCTTTGTGCCTAAAATTCAGAGTGTCATTTTTTTCCTTCAATAGCTAAAAATCCTGGAACATGATAATCTCATGTACCCTGGATCTTCTCCTGTGGTAGAGTGCTTCAACAATTTTCTCCATCATATATAAAAACTTCAATCTCTTCATGCCAAATCACGAAAAACTTTCACTAAAGTCTGTCATACCCTCAAGTTATTTTTCAGCCTCAGACACTTCCTAGCTCTGTGACCCTGAATATGTCATTTAACTTCTTGGCATATTGTTGTAGTTCAGTCATGTCAAACTATTTGGAATTTTCTTGGAAAAGACATTGGAGTGGTTTGCCATTTCCTTCTCCAGCTCATTTTACAGATAAGGAAACTGAGGCAAATGGGGGGGGGGTAAGTGATTTGCCAAGAGCCACATAACTAGTAAGTGTCGGAGGCCGAATTTGAATCCAAGTCTTCCATACTCCAAGCCCAGTGCTCTATCCACTGCACCACCTAGCTGCCCCTCCTGGCACATAGTAAGCAAATACATAAATGTTAGCTGTTACTATTTTTGTACCTGACTGTCTGCATTTGGGAAATACATATCTTTCATAGGTAGGCAGAAGCCAGGGATTGTGCCTATTTTCTATTCTGCTCAGTGCCTAAAATGGTCAAAAATAATTAAGAATGAATTATATGATCTCCGTAATTTGATCACTCAGTAGGAATTACTATAAATGCTTCAATGGGAAAAAACCCACAACTTCAAAATCTACTCTAGAAAGCCTCTGCGTTCTCTTCCAATTTTAAATTTATGATCTGTTTACCCATTTCAACTCCTGATATAGGAACATAGAAGTAAAAAATGGGTGTGGCAAAATATAGAAGCATAAATACAAAGAAGAAAAAAAATTATATAGATTTTGAGCCATGTTCCTCTTTCAGTAATAGGTAGCTATAGCATGTAGGAAAAATAAAAATACCAGGATCAAAAGATCAAAAAGTAAGTTACTCATAGATAGCACTTGTCCAGAATCTGCAGGAACTAAGTTATTTTTAACCTTGAAAAGATACAAATAAAAACTGCAAAATTTCTTAATTTTACACAAATATCTCAAATCACAAACATGAAAGCCCCCCCCCAAGAGTTCTACCTCTTACTAAACAATGTTAAAAAAAAAATTTAAACTAACCATCCTCAATTGAAATCTTTAGGAGCCTGTATTTTCCGTTCCTCGCCCTGGCAAAGATATCTCTAACTTCTTCACTTGCTGAAAGAAAAAAAATGGAAAAAGTTAGTATGCTTTGCATACCACATATTAATCTTAATTTTTACTTTTAAATTTAAATAAGGTAAAATATTAAACTATTTCAGAAAAGACATTGTGTTTAGCAGTTTATATTTCACTTTAATCATGATACCAAGGATTAATAAAAAAATGAACTCAAATCAGTAATGCTATGTTTAGTTTTATAAAAAAGTACAGGAAAGGAATTCAAGTTTCAAATAATACTAATCTGTCTTATTCTTTGAAATGATGTAGCAGAAGTTACCATACCATACATACATTGAAATGACCAAAAAGAAACAAAGGAGAAACCATTAAGTTATTGGTTTGCTGATTTTGATGAGTTAGGCTGAAGTATTTGGTTAAAAAAAAAAAACAAACCTGATAATGTCTTTGGTGTATTGACAATTTTCTGATACACAAAGAACTAAAAAAAATTTTTGATGTGATTTTCATTTTGGAAAGAACATGAAATAAATTAGAAAACCGAGGTTTGAGTCCTCTCTTGTGTCCCTGCAAACTTACCTAATGTGACTTAGAGTAAGTCATTTAATCTCAGAAAGTTTCCTTATCTATAAAACAGATATAATAATAATATTTGCACTATACAGGTTTTGCATTAAAGATAGAAAGATACTAGCATTAGTTACTAAATATTAGTATTAAGTTTTTCCTCCATAAGAACAACAGTAAGCACACTGTCTTACCTAAATTAAAAATGGATTCAACAAAATTAAGATAGTGTGTAGCAGAACACTGGTGTTGGAATTCAGAGAACATGGGTTCAAATACAGACCAAGTGCAAGATATTTAACCTCTCTGGACCTCAGTCTCCTCATCTGTAAAATCAGAGATGGAGATCCTTTTATCTCTAAATCAACCACTATGAAATGTTAACCAAAGAAACACTTTAAACTCTTGATATTTATATATTACCTTTACCAGATTTGATATATCTCAAAATTCTAAAATACACTACTGCAATTGGCCTAAATTTTTTTTATATACCTAGTAATTACCAGCACTACTATACGAATCACTTGAGCTATGTACAAATATGGAGTATTAAAGTTAATAAAATTTTAAACAGCAAAAAAAGCAGTTAAAAAAATTTCACAGGTTTAGCTTTGGGTGTTATTGCTTATCTGAGGAATCACGCAAAAGTGAGGGTGGAAATCAATGGACACAACTTTCTAAATCTTTATACACTGGGTGTTAAAGAGGGGACAACAGAAAGCAACTTCAATTAAAAAGATAATTTGTTTCCTTGTAGCTTGGCAAATTTTGGTTTGCACGTTTAATTTATAAAAGAAGTTACTGTCGCAGTTCAGAATTTTATTCAGCTCAGGTGAGTGCTTCCAGCCTACCTGTTATTCAAACCAGGAACTACAGGAGGTGAGACAGGATTACATACACTCAGCTGCCATTACGGAGAAAGAAACACAAGTTCACAGGGCAGACTTAGTTTGTCCAGGAAAACTAAGGAGATGAGGAGTCCAAGTGCTGAGGGAACAACGAATCATCATAATTTATTAACTGTAGAAGGAAGGGAATGAGTACAGAAGCTCTGGAAATACTCTTTCCGTTGACAAGGAAGGTCCAGACACTTTTATTTGGTTTCTGAAGCATAAAAGCCCCAAAATGAATGAACTGCTTTGGAACCGGCCTTGGCAGTGTCTCTGAGGATTTATTCCACTATACATGGGGGTGGCCCGAAAGATTAACAACAGCTCAGCCTCCGGCCCCCAGACCCAGAGGTCAGGGCTGGGCCAGGGCATGGGAGGGGAGGTGAGGGAGGAAAAAGGCCTGGCTTCCTGAAGGACCCGGCCACCCACCTTGTCCGTTGCTGATCTTTGCGGCTGGAGAAGTTCCAGAGCCCAAGGACCCCCCCTTTCCTTTCCTCCCCATACTGTGTCTTTACCTTGGATGCCGGTCTGATGGGACATAGTAGCGAGGTCAGCACCCGGCGACCACCCTCCGGTGCAGACTGGGGATAACTAGCGGCCTCGGCTGGCGGCTCCAGGAAGTAGCCGCTCCTGCCTGGGCCTGGTGCGTCACCAGAACGCGCCCCCGCCCCGCGCGGGCAGATTGGCCAGGCGGCCCAGCCCAGGCCTGCGCAGTGTGGCCCCTGCTGGGCAGTGGGAGGGCCCCAGACCTTTTTAGTTGCTAATACATTAGCTTTAACCAAGAAATTTTTACTTCAGTGGTATCATAACAAGTATATAAACAGTTTAGCTTAGTTCCTATAGGACATCGTCCTAATCTCCAAGCGCCAAGCAGCTCTCTTTGGGACTGAGCCCCAGGTACCCTAGCTTCTCAAAAGCTTCGCTGACAGGCAGGTTAATGCAAACTCTCACTTGGCTCCAAGGTCAGTAGCTCACATTCCACATCCAGTGAGTATCATTGCCTACACTTCAGACTGAGAAGGCCAATTGAAGCAGAAAGACACACACCCCAGCCTTTAAGTTTGAAGATGAGGGGAGAGGTAGCTTTCTTCATGGTTAGGTTGTTGGAGCTGTGATATGCAGCCAGTCAAAGGATAGGGAACCCCAGAAAGCAAAGTGCCAGCGTGGTAGGTGATTCCTAAATCACGGACCTATGTTCACAGGGTGCAGGACAAGCCTTCCATAGAGCATTATGCTGTAGGTTAGGAGAGGAATAATGAGCGTTTGAATTCAATTTTCATTGTATCATACTTAGTGGCATACACATTACAATCTGCTTTCTACCTCAACCCCCAAGTTGTCCGTAAGATCAGTGGTAGAGACTGTTTCAATTTTGTCTTGTCACTAGTGTCTAGCAGTTTTTAACAAATGTTTGTTGTTGTTGAAGCATTTAACTATAGGAATTTTAAGTACTTTAATAGGTTTTTGGGGGTAGAACTGTTGAAGTCTGAGAGGTTTCGAGACCCTTCAAGTACTGGAGTATAGGACGGGGTTGTCTGGAATGAATTCACACACTCACGCATTTTTTGAGTCAAGGTGGCAAAGATTTATTGTTACACTATGCAGCGGGCAGAGGTCCTTAAGGAATTCTGCCATGGTGGGCAGAGCACCCTAGGGAACTTGCAACCTAACAAGAATAATGCTAAAGCTTATATAGGAAAAGTAGTGAATTATGTGATAACTATGCTAATTAGGTGATAACATACAACTCTGTCATTCACTACTGGAAACCTCGGCAGGGGGATTTCCTAAGGGGTGTGTTTTTGGTCTGTTATTTCTGTAAGAAGATAGTTTTGGGAGTTGACGTCTATAGCTTGACCTCTGGATTGTATATGGAACTGTGGGCATCAGTATTTGACAGTTCTGCTGGTACAAGATAGTCCTGTTCATACAAGGGAAATTCTACAGAGGTCAGCTTGTTCTTATAATAGGGAGAGATAGTTTGCCTCACTGGGCCCACTCATGAGTCACTTCCAGAGATAGGGTCCTTGGTCTGGAGGGAAACTTCAGGGACAGTGCTTTGAGGCTAGGGTGAAATATGGAGTTGGAATTGAGGTCCGAGTACAAGCACCCCATCAGAACCAGTTATAAAAGTTATCCAAACAGCTGAACCTAAAGGAGATATAAATGAGAGTGGCAAGAAAGACATTGTAAACATATAGAAAATAATACTCTTTTGAATAATGTGGCTTAGCTGGGAAAGTAATCCAAAATGGGAGCTCTCATTTCAGCATAGGTATCAGTGAGATAAAAATTATCTGAGGGTCCACTGATGAAGTATTGATGTCAATCACCAAATTAACAACGTAGAGATAGTTATTTGCGGTGTTTTATTATGTTCAGAGCACAGATTCATCTGTATAGAGTCAAGAAAAAGCATCAGCTTCAGCAGTATTATATGAATACATGAGCAGCATAGAAAAATGAAATTTAAAAGAAATTAGGAGGGGGAAGATAAATTATATACACCTGAAAGCAAATAACAGAAGGGGGAAGATAAGGATAGCTGCCAGTTGGATACCTCCAAAAGGGTACCTCCAAAACAGGAGCTGTGGTTTGTTTCCCAGCCTTGACTCTGTAGGTATTTTAACATTCAAACCTCCAGGAACACTATCTGGCAGCTCAAACAAGGGACTGGGTCAGTTGTCTTCTTTTTTTCTTCTCTTTTTTATTTTTTTCTTTCTAAAAAATTAATATTTTATTTTTTCCCCAATTACATGGGGAAAAACAATTTTTAATGTTCGTTTTGTAAAACTTTGAGTTCCAAATTCACTTGCCCCCTCTCTTCCCTGCCCCCTCACTGAGAAGGCAAGCAATTTAATTTAACATAGGTTATATGTACATAGTCATGCAAAACATATTTTCATATTAGTCATGTTGTGAAAGAAAACACAAATTTTAAAAAAAAAATTTGGGTGCAGCTAGGTGGCACAGTGGATAAGAGCACCAGCCCTGGAGTCAGGACGACTTGAGTTCAAATCCAACCTAATACTTCCTAGCTGTATGACTCTGGGCGAGTCACTTAACCCCAATTGCCTCACCAAAAAAAAAAAAAGTTTTGAAAAGGATGCTTCAATCTGCATTGACCCCAGTTCTTTCTCTGGAGCTGGAGACCATTTTTCATCATAAGTTTGTAGGAGTTGTCTTAGATCATTGTATTGCTGAGAATAGCTAAATCATTTGCAGCTGATCATCAAACAGCGTTGGTGTTATTGTGTACAATGTTCTCCTGGTTCTGCTCACTTAACTTTGTATCAATTCATGTGAGTCTTCCTAAGTTTTTCTTAAATCATGGTACTTGTCAGTTCTTATAGCACCATAGTATTTGATTACAATGAAATATCACAACTTGGTCAGCCGTTCCTCAATTGATGGGCATCCCCTCAATTTCCAATTCTTTGCCACCACAAAAAGAGCTGCTATAAATATTTTTGTACATATATGTCCTTTTCCTTTTCATTTGCTATTTCTTTGGGATACAGACCTAGCAGTTGTATTGCTGGGTTAAAGGGTATGCATTATTTTATAGCCTTTTGAGAATAGTTCCAAACTGCTCTCCAGAATGGTTGAATCAGTCACAACTCCACCAAATGTGTATTAGTGTCGCTGTTTCCCCACATCCCCTCTAACATTTGTCATTTTCCTTTTCTGTCATATTAGCCAATCTGATAGGTATAGGGTGGTACCTCAGAGTTGTTTTTAATTTGTGTTTCTCTAATTAGTAGTGATTTAGAGCATTTTTTCGTATGACTATAGATAACTTTGATTACTTTGTCTGAAAACTGCCTGTTCATGTCCTTTGACCATTTATCAATTGGAGAGTTGCTCTTATTTTTATAAATTTGACTCAGTTCTCTACATATTTGAGAAATGAGGCTTTTATCAGAGATACTTGCTGTAAATTTTATTTTTCACAGTTTTGATTACTAATTGTGCATTTCCCTCCATCCTATTTCCCCCTCTGTTTATCACGCTCTCTCCTTTCACTCTGACAATCCTCAAAAATGTTTTGCTTCTGACAATGGCCTCCCCCAATCTGCCCTCTCTTCTGTTAACAGGATTTTACTGAGCCAATCTCTAACTTGAGAATAACTAAACAGTAGATCAGAGACAAAGTGCCAGTAATCAGGTAGCTGTTTAATTAATTAGTTTCATTATGAGGAACAAGTTTGCACTTCTATCAGCTCCCTATTTCACTTATCTTTACTGTAGCGTGAGATAGATTTATATACCCAACTGAGTGTGTATGTTATTCTCTTTGAGCCAATTGCAGTGAGAGTAAGGTTCACACTCTCCCGTCCTCCATTTCCCCCGTGTTCCCTTCCATTGTAAAATCTCTTTTGTACCTGTTTTATGTGAGATAATTTACTTCATTCTACCTCTCTGTTCCCCCTTCTCCCAGTGCATTCTCTTTTCTCACCCCTTAGTTTTATTTTTTTAGATATCATCCTATCATACTCAACTCACATCCATGCCCTCTGCCTATGTATGCTCCTTCTAACCACCCTAATAATGAGAAAGTTCTTAGGGGTTAAAAGTATCATCTTCCAAGGTAGGAATGTAAACAGTTTAACCTTATTGAATCCCTTATGATTTCTCTTTCCTTTTTATGCTTCTCTTGAGTTATGTATTTGAAAGTCAAGTTTTCTATTCTGCTCTGGTCTTTTCATCAGGAATGCTTGAATCTTCTGTTTCATTGAATGTCCATTTGTTTCCCCTGAAGAATTATATTCAGTTTTTCTGGATTTTTGGTTGTATATCTTATCTCCTTTGCCCTCTAGAATATCATATTTCAAGTCCTCTGATCTTTTAATGTGGTAGCTGCTAAATCTTGTGTTAGCTTGACTGTGGCTCCACAATATTTGAATTGTTTCTTTCTGACTGCAATGTTCCTCTTTGACCTGAGGGCTCTGGAATCTGGCTATAACATTCCTGGGAGTTTTCATTTGAAGATCTCTTCCAGTAGGTGATCAGTGGATTCTTTTGATTTCTATTTTACCCTTTGGTTCTAGAATATCAGGGAAGTTTTTCTTCATAATTTCTTAAAGGATAATGTCTAGACTGTTTGTTTTTTTTGATCATGGCTTTCAGATAGCCCAATAATTCTTAAATTACCTCTCCTGGATCTATGTTCCAGGACATTTATTTTTCCAATGAGATATTTCACATTTTCTTCTATTTTTTCATTCTTTTGATTTTGTTTTATTGCTTCTTGATGTCTCACGGAGTAATTAGCTTCCACTTGCTCAATTCTAATTTTTAAAGAATTATTTTCTTCATTGAGCTTTTGCATCTCCTTTTCCATTTAGTCAATTCTACATTTTAAGGAGTTCTTTTCTTCAATGAATTTTTGTGTATGTTTTCCCATTTGGCCAATTCTGTTCTTTAAGGAGTTTTTCTCTTTGATGAATTTTTGTATATGTTTTTCTGTTTGGCCAATCCTGCTTTTTAAGGCATTCTTCTCTTCATTGGATTTTTGTGCCTCTTCTACCGTTTGGCCTATTTTTTTTAAATTTTTTTTTTTTTGGTGAGGCAATTGGGGTTAAGTGACTTGCCCAGGGTCACACAGATAATAAGTGTCAAGTGTTTGA